CCAATCATGACATTTTTGCTACTTGAAACAAATACAATTAGCATAATTCTTGTTATCGTATTAAGCTAAACATTTACTTATTTAAAAAGGCTAACATTAAATGTAATGAAATACATGAAGCATCACTTGGGGTCTGTTGGTAGCCATGACTGCCTTCCTGATTTGTCAAAAGAAGGAGGTGGTACAAAGTTTAATGGAGATGGCCGCCTTATAATTCTTTCTGCAGGAAAACCCTGGCCCCATAAAATATTAATGACATGTGCCTTGTTTCTGGTTTAACCTCTACTCCAGGCTACTTTTCGTCTGTGTGTTTTATTTTTGCTGTATGTTTCATGAGGTCTTAACATTAAGCCAAAAGCCGTTTAATCTTCTTTTGCAAGCTAGCATAATCAATTTATTCTTACCTGAATAGCAGAATCTGGGCAATTTCTGCTGCTTCTTATGCGTGTTGTTGAAACACTTACATCGATTTAAAATGTAAACAGTTTTTCATCTTGCTTATTTATGGTCTTATTTTTGGCTCATTATTCACTTTTAGATAAAAAAAAAATCTTATTAGGCCTGTTTGACCTTTGAAAAGCTAATGACGACACCAGAGGAGATCATTTTATATGTTCTGAACTTCGAAATGTAAAATCTTTCTGCTTACCAAATACGAAATGTCTTTATTTTGAACAGGCAAATTGAATGATGGTAGCTATATAGAGTGTTTTGATGGGTTTTTAAATAATAGTCCTTTTTTATGCTGCCTTTTATTCAAATTAACCAAAGTTCTAACGCTGTGTTCACATCAGACGCGGATTATGTGCAAAGCACAAATTATTTACACGTTAAGTCAATGCAAAGATGCAAATACACATCCTGTGGTGTGAGTTCTCTTAACGCGTAAATCGCACATTTTGTGCAAATCGCTCAAGTCGCAAAAACTAAACTTCAGCCGACATTTGCGCTGCGTTATCTAATCATGAGCTTGCTCTTGTAGGGGAGTGATTATGACCCAGTGCCTGTTGTTGGTGTCCCAAGGAAAAATCCTCTTGCTGACACCAGACAACAGTTCATCAAACTAGGCTCGCTAAGCACAGCTAAAAGCCTACATCATCCAAGTATAGTTTCTGGAGGAGTTGATGAACTCACAGAGCTGGGTGCACCTCTGAAAGGATCTAGTTAACTCAGACATGACGATAAACAAATATACGATGTTTTTTTTAGCTTTCCCGAAGCACAGCTACTCTCTCAGTAAAATCCATGTTAGCCATTAAGCAACAAAGCTAGAATCACAGGGCAGACAGAAGATAAACTTGGCAGAGCCATCCTGTTCCCATGAGGAAATGCAACTATTTTATGTTTTGCAAGTTTAGTGGCTAATTTGTGAAAATTTAGTCATACGAAAATGTAATATTTTAAAAGGTGGCATAGCAACAAACCCTAAATCAAACCGTCATTGGGGATAAACAAATCATACTAAACTGAACAAATGAGATTGTAGAAATTCAAACGAATTAACCTCTAAATCAAAAAGTCCAATTGCCTTAAGCTAGTGTTGGCAAAGCTCAGAAATTTAGGGCTCTATTTTGACGGTCCATGCGCAAAGCGGAAAGCGAAAGGCGCAAATGCATTCAGATCGTGTCAGAATCCACTTTTGCTATTTTAAGGATGGGAAAATCCGCTTTTGCGCCATGGCGCATGGTCTAAAAAGGGTTGAGTTTATTTTCTTAATGAGTTATAGGTGTGTTTTGAGAATAAGCCAATCAGTGGCTCATCTCCCATTCCCTTTAAGAGCCAGTTGCGTCGCGCCATAAGCGCATTTGCTATTTACATGATGTAAAGTAAGGGTAAGTGGAAAAACTTAGCATTTCACTAGCAAGAAAATGGTTAAACATAGGATCTACAGCACGAGAATGAGAGATAAGGCATCTCATAATTCACTTTTACTTTCGCTCTTGTGGATAGGGAAACCTTGTACGCACAGACATCAATTAGCCTATAAATAATTAATTTAGTTTGTTAAGCGCAAAGACTTGTTTCAAAACTATTTCTAAATTCATTTCTAATTCCAGCAAACGAATAAATGAACAATAATAATGAAGTGTGGTCAATATACTGAGTTATATCCTACTACACATGATATGCCCCATATGGTCTAAAACCTGACAGGTGGACAAATCTAAGCTTGTTTTTATGGATATAATAAATAATACTGCTAATAATAATAACATTAAACAAAAGCAAACTGAATGAACTGAAAAAGTCTTCCGAGATGAAGAAGGATTCAAGGCAGTGGTTTTTAAATTTATGTAGGCTAGAAAATAATGTTTAGTAATATTTTAATCCTTTATATTTATATCTTATATATATCCTTATTATATTCTATATGTATCCTTAATATTTAATTCTTTTTCATATGTAAAGATATTTGCGTATTGCTCTACATCTTGTGTGTATTAAGCAGTGTGTAAGCGAGGTGCACTCTGCGCCGGACTTTAAACCGGCTTTGTTCTGGTTTAAAGAACAGACTATTACAGTTTCTCAAAAATAGCAACGTGCCAAAACACTTACTTTTTTTTTAGACCAGAACGCCTATGGGTGCACAAATGAGCGCAAATGCATTTGCTATTTAAACAGCGTGGCGCAAAATTTCAAAACGACTCTTGAGCCGAGCTAAAACTAGCAACTAACAATTGCGTCGCGCCTTGCGCCACATTGCACCGGGTGTATGATAGGGCCCTTAAAGTGGATGTAAAATGTTCTTACATCAACTGCTCTCAACCATATCTCAGCATAATCCACCACCATAATGCACTGCTTAAGCATTTACGCCAAACGGCAACCTCCCACTCTCCCACGTGAAGCTTATATGGAAGTAACTGCAATTCATCAAAATTCCGCTAGTCCTGGCTCCATGTAAATCAAGTTTCCATTGAGCTCACTGTTAAAATGGCCAAATTTACAGCAGAAAAAAATGTGTTTACAGCCTGGTACAAAAAACGATTTTGGTGTAAATAGCTAATATTACCCTTCATGACATCTGTGTGGAGGGCGAATTTTTTTTATAACTCCCCCATTTCATTTAAGTTATATTAAGTATGCATAATTAAGAGTGTGGCCACTTGAGTGACAGCTAGGTCTCGCTTGTGTCCGTCACTTTATCTCAGTTGATTCCGGCTGGTTAGCTGCTGAATTCGACAAATACAACATATTTTTGTATTGTTTTATGTGGCTTTACACAGTCAATTGCCTTTCAGAATTATTTTCTACAATTATCAGATTATATAGCATGCTGTGTGCACTTTATTGTGCTCACAAACCATTCACGTGGCCTCCATTTCCCAGGTGAGTGAAATTATATACCATCTCTATAAATGTATTTGTTTTATTTAAGATCATTTATCATTTATATTTTTCTTTAGAGCTGTAATGCACTCCAGAATCTGACAGACTGGTTAGCTGTAGGCTCTAGAACAGTCATCTGAAATGTTGTCATACAGTGTTTATGCCTGGATTAGTCTTGCATTTACTGACACAGACAGTATTTGAAGTATTTGGGAGTTGTTCGAGTTTTACTCCTGTAGAAAACACCATAAGAACAATGTTTAGTGGCTCAATATATTACAACAGTGTTTTTTAAAGAATAAACACATTATTGATATAGTATACAACCAAGCACATGTGGTCAGAACACAATTAAGTCGCAGGTTATTAAGTATTAAGTGTTTCTAAAAAAAATCGTATCTAATCAAAATGCTAACAGGTGTCTATAGCTCTGCTCATGCTCCGCCTCTGTCCTTATTTGGTTACCCCCGGTTGGAGCAATGATGCGCGAACAAATTGGCGCAGTTTGGCCACACCCACTTGCAGATTCATTTGCGCTCATCACCCATGGTTGATGTCACGGATACTACATCCATATCTTTGAGTCTGATTTACACTCAACTTCTAAAGGAATGTATTGAAGAGCTCACTCTTTACAATGTGTCAATGAAAATGCGCCATTAGGCTACATTTGCACAACAACAATGTAGCCCAAAATTTAAAGGTTTTTAAATTGCATTTCAAAGGTTTCATGTTTACACAACATTTTTAAAATGAGTTTACACATCCATGGAAGTTGTTTAGTCCATCTGTTAGTTGTATTAAGTAAATCCACACTTTGCTGATGAAGTACTAGCAAACACTTGAGCAACTACAACACCACCACATTCTCCACCATTGTTGTGTGTTTGTTCAGGTTAACCTTTAATATACGCCTCCCTAAACATGTAATAAACATGATGTCATAATTTTCAAAGACTTTTGTTTTCAGGTATGTACACAAACATGACAGTGGCGAAGTTTTCAGATATATATGCATTTTTAGTCACTAAAATGCAAGTGTTGTTAAATCAACAGGCAAAATGCATAAAATGTTAGACATTTTTGGTAAAACATGTTGTCGCATAGATGGCTACCCTCTTAAATATTTATATATGCTTGTTAACATGTTTGCGAAAGCAAAGGGGTCTAGAAAGCAGTAAGTGTGAGCTGCATGAATAATTGTAAATGCTTATTTCAACACTAATGAACAAATGTGAAAAAGCCAAATAGAGACCCAGAAAGCCTTTACTTTGAGGAGGATAAGTCAGCAAAACTTACATGAACAGATTTTCATCAGTCTGTTTTGTCACAATACAAAAATATTAAAAACTATTTAATTCTCTTGAAGAAACATCCTTTTATACTCTCAGCTATAGGTTAATCATTATAACACTGTATTAAAAAACACTATATTTTTAGAAATATATTTGTAAGATAAAATAACAATTGAGTCAATAAGATAAAACATTCAAACAACAAACGTTTTGTATTTTTTTAACCTCGTAGCTTAAATCTGCTGATCAGTTAGTTACAGTGCATCAGTCGGTGAGTACAATAACTTCATTTGACGTTTTTTTTTTGTTTATTTCTCTCCACACTCCACTCTTGTGCTGTGCTTCTGAAGTGGTTCAGAAGTTAGAGTCCGCAGATCAGGACGTTTAAAGGGTCCCCTGACTGCCAACACGTTTGCTGTCAATGGCCTGCATGTACTCCTGTACCCAGGGATCACTGGGTCTGGCACACACGTAACGTCCCCTTGCAGTCTTGAACCTGTACAGAGAAATTCAATATCATCAAACACACATGAACTAACATAATAAACATTAATAATAATATAATATGAAATTGCTATCATTATATCATCATCATTATCAGTAGTAGTATTATTAGTAATAAAAAATTATAAATTTATATTATGCAAATATATGTATAAAATTCCCTGCAATAAAAGTAATTATAAAAAAAAGATTATAAACAAATAAGAATTATATAGATGATATTAAATATTAATGATGATAATCATTCATAATCATCATCATCATCATCAGCATCATCATCATCATCATCATCATCATCATTATTATTAGTGAAATACAACAAAATTCGAAAAAAATAATTCCAAAATTATTATTTTGGTATTAAAATAAAATAAAATAAAATATATACTATATTACAATACAATAATATTATTATTATTAATAATAATAATAACAATAACAATGACAATTAAAAAAGACAAAAACAAATAAATGATGCATAAAATAATAATAATGAAAATAAAGCAAATTTTAGGTTTTAATACAACAAATAATAGCAGCAACACCAATTAATAAATAATAACAATAATAATACCAAGTGTGTGCAATAATTGCATATTATAACATAATTACTATAATACACAAATATAATAAATAATTCTAACCAATGTAAACAACAAAACTATTTCATTATAATAATGCATATAAAGTGTGCTGATATATAAATACGAATAATAAGAAATTACTATATTACTAATCAATTGTTCTATCATAAAAATTACAAAGATTATTACAATTTATAAAGTTATAATTATTCACTACATTATAATTAGTCATCTTCTTCTAATCAAAGTTAGTATTGATATAATAATAAAACACAACAACAACAATAATAATAATAATAATCAATATAATAATAAAAATAATAGAGAAAATAATAATAATAATAATAATAATAATAATAGTGAGGAACATAATAATTATAATAATAATGATGAAAATAATAATCATAATAATAAAATAATAATAATAATAACACCAAAATAAACACAATAAAAATAATGGATATAAAAAATGTACTCGCATATACCATATAATAATAACAATAGTGAAGAAAATAATAATTATAATGAAATTAATAATACTAATAATAATAATAATAATAATAATAATAACAATCATAATAAAAAACATATTAAAACAATATATTTTTAATACATAATTTTACTATTTAAAATAACACAGTCAGGTATGTTATTATTGTCATACGTACAGGACGGCTTCTTTGGGGCACTGCTGGCTTGTCATGCTGTATTCCATTACTTGTTTGAAAGGCACTTGACGTTCCGCATACTGGAAACAGCATCTCTTTGGTCCAATGCGCATACCTAGAATAAAGAAAACACAATCAAGTTATTGTTAGTTACTTATTACTTTCTATTACTTATACTACATTAGTTATTGTTAGTTGCAAAAAAACTTATAGAAAATATCAATGTGGTTCACAATACATATTCATTAATAACAGTATTTACTATATTACTTATGAAATACTATTAGTTCAAATATATAAAGTACTTTATATTATACAAGTTATATTATGTTTTATATTATATAAATAAAACAATTACAAAAAAAATGCAAAATTACAAAAATACAAAATAATATTTTTTTAGAAAATATATAATATCAATAATTTATATATTATAAGATAGTTTTCTTCAAATAAATCATTTAATATATATTATTTACTACTCTTTCTTCATCTTACCTTGACTGAGGCTTACGGCACACAGCAGCACCACAACAGCAGATAAAAACACAAAGCGAGAGGTGCTCATTTTAGCACTTTCTACTAGATGATGACCTAAGAATCTTCCAGAAATTATTTCTCAAGCTGGATCTAATGTGTGTCTCATGGTTTGTCCTGTCCTCTTTTATACAACTCCTCAGAGAAGGGAAGATCCGTGATTCGGGGTGGAATTTGAAGAGGGAAATTTTGCTTTGAATTCACCCACGCAGAGAGAAACTCCGTCAGTCTCTTGTCGTCACACTCACACACAAACACGTGCTCTGACCTTCACTGTTCACATTTAAACCTTTTCTGATAGTCTACTGTAGGGGACGTTCCTGATTGCAGACCTTTCACTTACTCTTTTTGTTTCAGAAAAAAGAAAAACACTAGAGTGCTGAACACTGCGGCCCTTTGTAAAGCGGAAATTAGATGCAGACATTTGAATTTCATCATTTAATTCTTACTCCCTCGTGCCATTCTAAAGAATAGAGTCATGAGGAGCTTTATAAAGCATGTTTCAAGAGTTCCCACTTAGATATGCTTGGCACTTATAGCAGGTTTGGCATGCTGTCCTGGGAGAGAACCCTGAGCTCGGAGATATTTGAGCCCAGGGCTCCCGCCCGGTCTAGAAGCATATCAGGAGGACCGAGATCAGGTAGGTCTCGATCGCTCCCCCTTTAGAAGGGGAGAAAAAGGAGGAGATGGGGTGGAAGGGGGGATTCTTCCAAAACGAAGATAGTGCAATAAGGAGAAAGTGATCCATTTATATTAAGCTAGGATCATTCTGATTGGATTATTACTGATTACGGATGAGTGGCCAGTGGTGCACAATCATATCACGTGCTCCTCTCGAAATTAGTTCATGAAACTTCACTTAGTGGTTGTGGAATCTTACTATGGATGCATGTTGCTGCTTTTTCCAAATATTTTGGGTGAATTATTCTTTCTGAGTCTATTCTAAAACGTGATTGTTATGCTGGTGTTTTGTGTTTAAAGTTCTGTTGGCATGACAATTCAATATGATATAAAGTGTTAAAATGCAAAAACCTCTGATGCCATTTGTTTTTTTGTTTTTGTTTTTTTTTTTGTTCTTTTAAGTTAGAAATGTTACTCAGACTCCTGAGTGGAGGCTCATTAATTTTGCTTATAGTGATGAAAAAGTTATTTTCATTGAATTTAAAGTGAAATAACTGAACAAACATAGGAGGCTAAAACACATGCTCATTTTAGGACAAAATTTCAAACAGGATTTAGAGGTTTTTGCATCTGAACTCTTCATATATATATATATTTTGTTATTAATATATGATCATGGAGTGCTGGAGATTACATAATAGTAATAATAATAATTATTATAATAATATTAATAATAATAATAATATCAACAGCAATAATAACAACAATATATATATAATATTTTATATATATATATATATTATTTATTATTTTTATATGTACAGTACTTATCATTAGGAAGTGCTAAAGCCTAAATATTAATAATAGCAATAATAACATAATAATAATAATAATAATAATCATCATCATCATTATTATCATAATAATAATAATAATAATGGGGTAAACTTTATCTTCCAAGTTTTTAAATATGATTGTTATTTTTATTCATTTGTTAATATTTTTCTGCTGTCATAAAATCAAGAACAATAATAATATACTATGATAATTAAAGGATATAATCCAGACACATTAAAATAAAATCATGGGATTTTTGTTATTGTTCTAAAAATAGTTCATAAAATTGTAAAGATTATGTTATCTATATTGTTAATATTTATTTATTCATTTTCTTGTCAGCTTAGCCCCTTTATTAATCCGGGGTCACCACATCGGAATAAACCGCCATGTCATCCAGCAAGATTTTACACAACTGCAAGTTTCCAGCCACAATCAAGACACTTCTATGCAGCTTAAAGTGACTTTTAAAGGCTTAACTAGGTTAATTAGGTTAACTAGTCAGGTTAGGGTTATTAGGCAAGTTATGTATAATGATGGTTTGTTCTGTAGACTATATCGGAAAAAAAGTTAGCTTAAAGGAGCTAATAATTTTGTCCTTAAAATGGTGTTAAAAAAATTAATTACTGCTTTTATTTTAGCCGAAAGTAAACAAATAAGTTTTTCTCCAGAAAAAAAAAACATTATCAGACATGCTGTGAAAATTTCCTTGCTCTGTAAATATAATATGGGAAATATAAAAAATAATAATAATAAATTCAAAGGGGGGCTAATAATTCTGACTTAATATAAATATATGTTATATGTTGCGGTCATTTTGCTTATATTTTTGCATTTTTTGCTTTTTAATATTAAAAACTACTATCTTTATCTTCTGTGGGTTAGGTTTAAAATATGCTAATTCTAATAGTTTAATAAAATTTATTTGACTTTTGGAAATCACCAAGCGACCCCTGTCATTTTCCCACGACCCCCACTTTGGGAACCACTGCATCATATGGATGGATGGACTACAAAAAATTTTTTTTATAAACATGAGTTTTTTTTTTTATTTTTTTGTTTTGTTTTTATACATATTTTGAAAGTGTTTTTTTTCTGTAAATGTATTAATAATTGTAAAAAAAAAATTATGCAATTATTAACCTATTAACCTTATATTTATTAAAAAAATAGAACTTATTTGGTGCAAATTACATTAGGCATTAAACATCTCCTAAAAACAGTTTATGTATCTGAATAACAAAACCTTTAAACAGTTTCAAAGTCAGTTAAATGTTTTGCACTCATTTAAAGAAACGCTAGCGCCCCGTTTTAAATCATGAATACCTTGTCAAGTATCACATCCTCTTTCAAAACGAGCGTTAATGTAAGACAAATGTCATCAGCCACATTTACAGTGACATTTTCTCATTTAACACAGACAGTTTCATCTAAGATTCAGACGCCCACTCTGTGCTAAAAAGAGCAAACATATTTAACAGACATGAATCCTGCAAATCTCTCATACACCTGGATGATTACGATGAGTTATACTGTACTTTCATACACATTTACATTGAGAAACCTGTTTGAGAAAACACGCTTCAGTAACTTTGTCATTTTTGATTTCATCACATAGATTTGTTTTATAGCCGCATAGTTCAATACCAAAATATCTCAATAAATGGGTGAAGTAAGTTCAGGTGCATTCCTGATGATTCACTGAGTTGATTCTGCAGAAAGCTGATGTTCAGTGCATTTGACTTGTAAAACATTTCTTACTGAAGGGAAAGAACTTTTTTTATGTTTAGTTTGGATTACTCATTTTATCCTGACTCCCGTTGGAGTTTTTCAGATTGTCCAGTGCAACAAAGACAACATTGTTTGATTTCAAGTTTCAATCTTGTTAATAACTTGAAAGTTGTGTTGGAGAATGTAGGGGAATTATTTGAGTTTTTTTTTCATACTGAATCTGGTAGTATCATTAACATACAAACAAACAAACAAACAAACAAATAAAAATCTGTGATGTAAAGTATTTGTGCTCGTAATGTAAAAATATAATGTAAATGTATCTGTGGTGTAAAAATGCAAACAAAGTAAATGTGTTTCTAATGTAAAACTGCGAAGTAAATTTGTTTATATTGTAAAAATGTAACATAAATGTATTTTTACTGTAAAAATGTAATGTATATGATGTTGTACTGCTGCAAAGTAAATGTGTTTATTATGTAAAAATGTAATGTAAGTGTAGTTATACTGTAAATGATGATGTACTGGATCTGACAGTATCATTACCATACAAACAAAAAGACAAATAAACAAACAAATAAATAAATAGAAACTAATGATGTAAATGTTTTTTTATGTAAAAATGTAATGCAAATGTATTTGTAATGGAAAACTGTATTTATTTATAAAGTAAAAAATATAAATGTAAAATGTAAATGTACAGTTGAAGTAAGAATTATTAGCCCCCCTGAATTATTAACTGGGAGATAGTTGAGCCCAGGGCTCCCGCCAGGTCCATAGAGCATGTGAGGGGAGTACGAGATCAGGTGGTTCTCGAGAGCTCTCGAGAGCAGGGGGGCCTGGGCAGGGAAAGAAGTTAGGTGAGTGAAGAGTGAAAAGGGGGAGAAGGCTAAGTGCAAATCAGCTGGAAGAAAGAAGGGAAGCTAGATGGCTGGGTCATGCCCGCGCCCTTGGGAGACTGGGTAGTTCCTCTGCACTCGGGAAGCTGGTATGGTTGGGTTGTATTCTCTCCCTGGACTTGGCCCATGCCCTAGGCCGCTGGGATTACTGCGTCTGCTGGTGAGGGTCCTCTGAGCTTCCCTGAGATGGCTGAGTCAGATATAAGATTTGAAGGCGTCGGGAGACCACCTTCCTAGTGTTGTGTGTCTTGTTGCGATAGCCCTTTGTGTGCTGCTGTGGTGGCGGCTCCAATTCTGAATGAGTGACTGGATTATGAATCTGATGGAAGTCTGAATAGTCCTATGACTTTAGGGTGTTTTTGGAACCAAAACATGTTACTGGGTGGTGTGTGTCGTCAATGAAATAGGGGCTAGGGGACTTGCGCTTAGTGTTTTCCTATTGTGTATGAAGCTAGGAGTAATTGGAACGGGCTTGTGGAGGAGGGAATATTGAATATGAAGATGCAATGTCCTTTTCTGTATTGATCTGTTTACTTTGCTTGATGAGGAAGGAAATTGTTTCCTCGTCAATTAAGGTCAGATCTGTAATGGTGGGTGGATAGTGGGATCGAAATTTGGTGTAACTGTAAATTCAGAACATCTGAGAATCCGAAAAAGACGAGAATATACATTGCATCTAGAGTGTGGTCTGTATGAAAGGATAGGTAGCCTTTTCTGATTGTGCAATGCATTTGGAGAGTATGTTGTGTGTGTGGTGGGCAATCTGGTATATGGGGGGGGGGTAATTCTGAATGCCTTTAATAAGGCTGGTTTGTGAATTAGAAATAGAATCAAAAATGGAGCCGTACATGAGTTTGTGGAAGAATTTGATCCCACTTAAATAGCTCTTGATGGAGTTGTCTTGAATGTGTTTGTAAGAATGCAAGTATGTGATGTATAGACTGATTGAAAGCGGGGAAAACAGAAATGAAGTGTTGTGTGGGGAATGGAAT